TCTCATTGCCTTTATTTTTTCAATGTTTCCTTCGATTTTATCATTTCCCATTTAAAAATTTTTCAATTTCGCAATTTTTTTGATTTTCAGTTATCCGATTTTCCGATTTCTTTAATTTCCAATATTTCGGTTTTACAATACATTTCGTTTTTTCGGTTTTGCACTTTTTCGATTTTTAAGTTTCTCAATTTTTAATCTTTCGATTTTTGAATTTTTCGGTATTCCAAGTTCTTGATTTCCTGTTTGTAGATTTTTCAATTTTACAATTTTGTAATTTTTCCATTTGTTGATTCAAAAAATTGAAAAATCGAAAAATTGAAAATCAAAGAACTCTCTTGAGTTGAAGGAATTGAAACATTGAAAACTAACAATCCAAAAAAATTAATGAATCAAAAAATTCGAAAATCGAAAAATTATACAACCGTCAAAATTGTAAAGTCGAAAAATTGGAAAACCCAAAAATTATAAAATCTAAAAATTACAGAATCGTTAAAATTGTAAAGTCGAAAAGTTGTAACACTGAAAGATCGAACAATTGAAGAATTAAGTACCCAAAAAGTTAAAAACTAAAAATCGAATAAATGAAAAAGTTTTCAAAGCCAATAATTGAAAAATGGGAAAATTCTAAAATGGTAAAATTGAAAAAGTTAAAATAATTTAAAATTGTAATTATTATTTGATATTTAAAATGAAAACTAGTAAAATTGCAAATCAAAATGTGAAGAAAGCAAAATTGAAAAATTGGGGAAACTGAAAAATGTAAATTTCAAAAAACAAAAAATTAAAGAAACCAAAACTGAAAAATCCAAAAATTGAAAATTTTCACATTGAAAAAAGAAAAATTATAAAATCAGTTGACTGAAAAACTGAAAAGTTGGAAAAATAAAGAAACTGTAAACGAAACCAAATTTGAAAAATTGAAAAAATGAAAAAGGAAATCATCCAAAAATTAAAAATCGAGAAACTAAAATATTTAAAAATGAAAAATTTAAGAAACATAAAAAAATGAAAATGTGAAGAAACGAAAAATTTAAATTGAATAAATAAAAGATTATAAAATCGGAACATTAAAAAATAGAAAAATTGTAAAAATAAGAAAATAAACTGAATAAAAAAAAATAAAAACTGAAAACTCCAGAAATTTTAAATCGAAAAAGTACAGAATCTAAAAATTGAGGAAACCAAAAAATGAAAAATTGAAAAATCTAAAATTAAAAAATTGAAGAAACGAAAATTGAAAAAATTAACATTGAAAAAAACAAAAAACCACACTGAAAAATCAAATAATTGAAAAAGTAAAAAAAAATAAACCAAAACGGAAAATTGAAAAATTAAAAATCGAAGAACTGAAGAAACTAAAAATTGAAACTTGAAAACTAAAAATCGAAAAAATTAATGAATCGAAAAATTGGAAAACCCAAAATTGTAAAATCTAAAAATGATAGACTCTTCAAAATTGCAAAATCGTAAAATTGTAACAGTGAAAGATCGAACAATTGAAACACAAAGTACCCAAAAACTAAAAAATTAAAATCCAAATAAATGAAAAAGTTAATTTAAAATTATAATTATTATTAGAAATTTAAAATGAAAATTAGTAAAATGGCATATCAAAATTTGAAGAAACGAAAAATGGAAAAATCGAGAAACTGAAAAATGTAATTTTGAAAAAACGAGAAATTAAAGAACCTAGAACTGTAAAATCGAAAAATTGAAAATCGTAAAATTGAAAAATCTAAAAATTGAAAAATAAAGAAAATGTAAAACCGAAACGAAAAATTATAATCTAAAAACTTGAATAAATGAAAAATGAAATCATACAAAAATTGAAAAATCGAGAAACTGAAAATTTTAAAAGTGAAAACTGGAAGAGTTGCTAAATCGTAAAATTTAGGAAACGAAAAAAATGAAAAAGTGAAGAAACGAAAAATTGAAATTGAATAAACAAAAGATTATAAATCGGAAAATTGAAAAATCGAAAAATTGTAAAAATAAGAAAATTAAAAACTGAAAACTCGAGAAATTTTAAATCGAAAAAGTACAGAATCTAAAAATTGAGTAAACAAAAAAATGAAAAAATTAACATTGAAAAAAACAAAAAACGACACTGAAAAATCCAATAATTGAAAAAATAAAGAAAATAAAAAACCATAACGGAAAACTAAAAAATTAATGAATCGAAAAATTGGAAAACCCAAAAATTGGAAAAATTGAAAATCGAAGAACTGAAGAAACAAAAACTTGAAACATTGAAAACTAAAAAATTAATGAGTCGAAAAATTGGAAAACCCGAAAATTGTAAAATTTAAAAATTATAGAATCTTCAAAATTGTAAAATCGAAAAAATTAATGAATCGAAAAATTGAAAAACCAAAAAATTGTAAAATTTAAAAATTATAGAATCTTCAAAATTGTAAAATCGAAAAATTGTAACACTGAAAGATCGAACAGTTGAAACATGAAGTACCCAAAAAGTGAAAAATTTATTGAATAAATGTAAAAGTTTTCAAATCCAATGGAAAAGTTCTAAAATGGTAAAATTGAAAAAGTTAAAATAATTTAAAATTGTAATTATTATTAGATATTTAACATTAAAGCTAGTAAAATGCAAACCAAAATTTGAAGAAACGAAAAATTTAAAAATCGAGAAACTGAAAAATTTGAAAAAACGAAAAATTAAAGAAACTAAAATTGAAAAATTGAAAATCGTAAAATTGAAAAATCAAAAAATTAAAAAAATAAAAAAATGTAAAACCGAAACTAAAAATTACAAATCGAACATTTGAAGAAATGAAAAATGAAATCATCTAATATTTGGAACATCGAGAAAATGGAAAATTTAAAAATGAAATCTGGAAGAGTTGCAAATCGTAAATTCGAAGAAACAAAAAAAAAGAAAAATTAAAGAAACGAAAAATTGAAATTGAATAAAGAAAATAAATACCGAATTGAAAAATTAAAAATTGAAAACTCTGGAAATTTTAAATCGAAAAATTGGAGGATCTAAAAATTGAGGAAACAAAAAAATTAAAAATTGAAAAATCTCAAACAAAAAAAATTGAAAAAACAAGAACCAGGAAAAATTACAATCTCAAAACAAAAAATTATAAAATAGAAACATCGAAAAATTGAAAAGTTGGGAAACTGAAAAATTTAGACTTAAAAACTCGAATAACTGAAGAAACAAAAAAAATTGAATAATTGAAAAATTCAAGTTAAAACAATTTTTATAATTTTTCGGAAAAGCGGGATTTGTTGAGTTAATTTAGGGGCGAGGGAAATTCTGTCGAAATAACCTTGGACCAGTTTTTATTCTCACGTAGTTTATAGTACTCGCAGCCAAAACAGAGAAAGTAATTCATTTGTAAGAAAACGTTCGAAAACAGGTCCCTCCACGCACAAAATACAATAATAAAAATATAGAGAGCAAAATTCTTTATTGAAAAGCTGCTTGTCATTGTTATCTTGCTAAGACGGCTACTTTTGTTCTAGTGATTCTTTTGTGTACATCACGATCGGAAAATGTCCCCCCATTAAGGTTACTAAGATTTAAAATGAAACAATAGATTAGATTTGTAAAGTTTGAATACAATTATTTATCACTTCTTGCATCATATTAAACAAAATCTACTCTAAATTTGATTTTTTGGGTCATGATTTATTGGCATATTATAAAGATAATAAAACAGATGAACGCAACTTGTTATTTTTTCAGCATCTTGAAATATTTAAAATGAGTCAATAAGGTCAGTGAAAAAATCTGGTTTGAATTTTGTTCCTTTCTTTGATTTTTCTAATTAATGTAGGTTCATAATGAAATGCGAATGAATATCATGAATCATCGGTGCTCATTCAGAACAAGAAATCGTCTGATGGATAAAACTACTTTTTGCACTCATGACCTTTTTTGATAGCTTTCGCGCATTCACCAGAGTGCGGGACGTCGAATTTCCCGCACACGTGCATTTAACTTCCCGTTGCCATGGTAACCTTAAAATACTCGGGTAGTGTCAACATTGTGACGTGTTGACGGCGCTGTCAATGGCGTTGTTTATGAATAACTCACAGTTAATCTCTTCAGTTTAAAGGTTTATTCGTCGCAAAAAATATTGTACACAACACGTTCGTGAGCCTGCTTCCCGCATTCACGCAAATGCGGCACTCCCTTCGGTCGTGCCGCAAACAAGCGTTCATGCGGGAAGCAGGCTATCCCGAACTAGTTGTGTAAATTACTATTGTATATTTACTTGTGTGCATTCACCTTCCGGTGAGAATAGTAAAAGGCTTAAGTTCGAGCTTAGGTACTAAGTGTTTCTGTAATCCATTTACAGTTGCACCTCGTAACAAAAGGTCTTTAAATAAATCGTTTCACGGTTGGAGTTATCCGATTCGCTTTGGTCAGATCTGTGAATATTCCCAAATCTTGTCCATTTCACGAAAAATCCTGCCACAGTGAGCGGAGTAGTAATTCTAGAAACATTGCAATTCCACGTGAATTCGAAGAAACATTCTAGAATCTAGATCTCCGCAAAACGGTGAACGTTATTATGATAATTGATTGCCGCTTCGCTGGCAAAATCCAGCAGCTGCGAAGAGTGGCCCGGAGCAAGGATCATCTTCGTTCCGGGTTGAAACCTTCCGGGTGATGTAGATAACACAGGACGGAAAGTGTGACTGTGGGGATTCAAAACGTTCTAGAAACCCTGCTATTCACAGGTGAATCGAGAGAACGTTCTAGATCTTTCCAAACTTATGATAATTGATCTGCGGTTTCGGTCACAGAACGCAACCACTGTGAAACAGGGCTCACCCTCGGAATGGTCCTCGTTTAATCTAGAAAAGTTCGAAACTAAGCCCGTGGAGAATCGAATCGTTCTAGAAACCCGGAGCATCGCCGTCTCAGTGCTCCCAACACAACAAACAGAATCATACGATCCCACGTAAGCCCCACGATACGCGTGCGCACCATCGCGCCTACGTGACCGTCGACGATGCCGTGACTCGGTGAACACAAAATAAAGCAGTCGGAATTTAACATCAGTGGAGTGCGGATTGCAAGATGGGTAGATAGAGTGACAAAACCGATAAATCCTTTTCTTTGTGCCTACAAAACAAATTATCATTATCTGTGACACCGGGCCGTCGTAGCACCAGCTTCGATAAATCCACTTCCGAAAAGGAAGCGATCACATCCAGGTTTTTCTTTTTCACATTACGCAGCAACCGAAAAATGGTCGAGAGGATTTTGGAAGAAGCGGAGAACTACGATCCAGGTGTGTAGTTAAGAGAAGTTTGGGGACCGCTGGTGTGTTGTCTTTGTGCGTTCCTGCTGTGGGATGTCCAAATTGTCGATACTCTTGCGTAGGTTACGTCATTTTTCCAGAATAAATAACCATAACCGGTTTGCTCGCGCAATTTTGGCCTGCCGGATTTGTTTACGTCCGGAGCTCCGGACTACACGACGAGAAAATCGCGCTGAATCAATGTCGTAATTCGCAACACTCCTTCATTGTTGTGAAACGAATTGAAAGAGGTTGTTGGCTTTGCATTTGCTGCACGAACGTCGTGATCGACAATATCACCAGTTTCTACGATTAAAACGACAATTATACGTTTTTAAGCGCACGCACCGGTTCTAACAGGCCGTGCGGAGACGTGACCGGAGGCTCGACTCACCGGCTATAACAAGGGTAGCACCTGATGACACATAAAAAAACACTATTTATATACTTTGTTCTACTTTGTGGAATTGGGCCGGTGAGCACCTTGCTGTGGGCGCCCGAAATCCACAAACCGGGAATTTTACTAAACCACGGTTTTACGTGGCGTGGACTTATTTTAACACAAAGCAAAAAGTTTCAATACTCAGTAGATGGCTTTTTTCAATTCATAGTCCTTCATCAAAAGACCGTTTTTAGACTAGAAATAACTAAAGCTAGATTACAAAAACAGTGGTGAGGTTACACCTGCATTTTGTTTTGTTTCCGCTATTCCTTTTCCGTGAGATCCCGATGACGTCATGTGGAGCCCTTAATCAAAGACTTTGACGGCCCGATCAATACTCGCCGGAGTTTCCAGTGCATAATGAACCGATGAGGCGGTTGTGGATAAAAACATAAACAAAGATTAAATCAACGGTTTGTTTCTCTGGCTTAAGATGTACATGTTGTAACGGTTGACATACTGTGGAGCTTATCAATCGATCAACCAGAAGTCGAGGAGAGATGATATAACAGTTTGTAAGATCGATTAAAGAGTCGATTGTTTAGTTTGAATGAAGGAAATACAAGTGGCTTGAAAAAAAATTAGGGGTTAGCCGAGCCCAAGAGACTGTTGAAAATTGCGATTTGCCACATGTGCAGGAACTATCCTTGAAATTAACGACTTCCCGGCAAGGAAGTTGAAAAAGGTAGCAGGCTATTTTTAAAATTATACCTGATTGTGTTCACATGACTGGGAAGGTGATTTTCATTGTTGTTATAAATAGATTCATTTTGACAAGATCGAACACGTTTTGACTTGTTTTTGGTAATTTTTAATTTCTATAAGTCTGCACTAAATTATACCTGTCAAAACAAACGTGGTTTTGTACTTTTTGGTAATGTCAAGCTCAAATGGTAAAGGACCATTTCCATAGCGTGACTAGACCCAATGATTCGGAAATACAAATTACCAAGTTGGTACATATCCATATTTTGGAACACCTACTATTTTAAGGTAATTCGTTGAGTCATGCATTACAAATACATTAGTTTCAATAAAATTACTGTTTCACGAGGCAAATCAGTCCATAAAATCTGACATACGATAACGATAATAATTTGTAGACGCATTTAAATTTCAAATTTAATTCAAATCGGTGCATTCGTGTAGGCATTTGATAGATTAGCCAAAAAGCGATAAAAGAACCATTTAGAACCGTAAAAATGAACCGTTGAGTTTGCTTTGAAAAACTAAATAGAAGTGGCAGACGTAACATAAAAGTACATATTATCTTTTGGCAGATAATCTTTTTACCCTTCTATTTAGGTGAATCAGGTGAAGCAGCATTGAAAATAGGGCCAGAACAGGTAGATAAGAAAACAATACAAGGATTATTAACATTTTTTGATAGTAGTTCCTTCGTTGATGGTAATCCTGTGCTATCAGTGTTATGTTATAATGCTGCTAATCCTGATTTGCATTTTTGGGAAGAGTATTAAAATATGATTTTGAAGTTGGCAAGCAAGCGGCCGCATAATAGAAATATTAAAAGTGTTACAGTCTGCCACATTTTACGCAGTCGTTTAAAAAACCCGAAGAAATTCATTAAACATGGAAAAGTCGTTGAATTGAATTCTTGAGATCCCCTTTATGACGCAAGAAGACGTGCCTTGCTAATCAACGTCACGAAGTAATCATCGAATTAATGCCTAATTAAATTAATTTTAATTGGAACTCAGGCCCCCGATCTTTAAAATTCTTTCCACTAATAACCGCGGCCGGCTTTTGAGTTTGACAGTTCTCGTTTCACTCCTTTTGTAAAATGCGCGGTCTTTGTGTTGAGTGTATAAGGAAAATCTCGGCAATGTCTCCTTTATGATCAAAGAACCCTCCGATGCAAATGTAGACGATTTAGACCTTGTCGTCAGCTCCCGTTTTTGCAATTCATGGAAAACGCACATCTCCTTTGTCTGTTCTATTTTCGCAAGTTGGCAACGCCGTGGGTTCATCGTCTGATTATTGGCCGAAAATGCGCCAAAAAAGCCAACGGTCCGTTTGTTTTCGGTTGGAAATCCGCAACACGTTTCGGTTTTTTCATTAACCGCATTAGGCACTTGCATGTCTATCTTCCGTTTTCATCGGCTGTATGACCTGGAACTGATAAAACAATAAACAATGATGTGTTGTGGTCGTTTTCTCGTTTAATTGTTGTTCCGTTGGGAGGTTCGAACCGTGGCTTTTTCAACCCATTTTCCGAGCGATTGAAATGCCAGCCGTGACGCAATCGATACATATTTTATGGTTTTGAAAGAACTCACAATTAGTAGCTTGTAAACAAACATTTTCGATGCAATTAAGTTGTTTTGTACGGGTATTGGGGTGAACTAGACTGGGTTGCGTAACGAACTGTCGTGAACAAACTTGGGAAATGAAGCCGCTCCTTGTGATTAAATATTGTCAGAATGTGAAACCTTCCAGAGATGCTAGTACAAAAAGGTCGACTTGTGATAATTAAAACGGTTTTTGTGAGCCGATCAAATACAACCGGCATTTGACATACAAGGGACACGAAAATTACCATAGATTAACCTCGCGTAGATTCATATTCAAATTAGAACAACTCAATTACGAGAGTGATTAATCATATACACGAAAAAATGATTTTTGTCACGTTTTAGCTTCAGGTTTTAGGGCTATTGCCACATGAAATGTCACTTGTCGTCAGATCAAACAGTTGGCGCAATGTTTGTTGTTCTTGTCGCAATACTTGGGTTGAGGTCAAAAAGGGTCTAATTTCAGTTTATCACCGGTTTGTGTAATGTTAGAGAAAAAGCTTAAACATTGTTTTTGTTGTTGTAACAATTATGCACAAGTTTGTTTGCATACCGGCATTCAAGTTGATGTGCTACTAGTTTTTTAATTTAGTCATCATACTAACAAAATTGCTGAAACTTTGTGTCAACTAATTTTCTCGTTTCGATTTTACATATTTACAAAAATCCACACAATTCTCTAACTTGTGTCAGCCACCTGTTGATTATTTCAGCAGTTAAATTCAGATAAAGCTATTTTAAAAATGCCTCTGGTCCTTGAAGCTGTATCCAAAATTTTGTAATGAATGGAGGTCGCGACTATTATTTTTTGTGGCTAAAATTTTTTTAACCAAAAAGTTACAAAATTCTAACATTTGCGAGAACGTGCTAAGTCGTTTTTTGTAATAAATGTAATTGGTGGGTTTACATGTGCTAAATAACGTTTAGTACAGCCAACTCACGCTAAGGTTACATTCTAGAAGATCCTGGTCAGACCGTAAGAATTATGCAACGAAAACGTAATTAGATCAATGATATTTAAGCAAAATACAAAACAATTTCAAAAGCGAAGGTCAGTTTGAATGCAAAAAATTGCCAAGAGCTTTCGTGACAAGTGAAGCAAAAATATTTATTGTTATCGGGGAAAGTTGGAGTGTTTTCAATGTGAACAAAATAATAGTTCTACCAGGAGAAGCTACATGATGACTAAAAACGAAGAAGAAACAAATTATTTTTTTTTATAATTGACTTATGTTTTTTATCCATATTCTAAATTGTACATAACTCTGTTCGCATTTTAAAGGTCCACCAACACCGAAATTTACCGTGGAAACTCGGCAGAATCAAGTCATATTAAGTTTTGCTGTCACTCATCTGCCAAATTAAAGACTTGTAATGTGACCTCTCAGAAGACTCGCCCTATTTACAGGTAACCACAAATTTCATCGTTTCTTAGCACTGCTTTAATTTGATCTTGTTTTGATGCGTTTGCGTCAATTAATAACAAATGACGAACTTCTAAACAAAGGGATATCTATTGGATTAGTATGAATCAGCAAATGATAATATTGAGCGTAAATAGATCATAAAATCAGCTGTAGTGGTGTCACCTTGAAAACGACGGTCAAAAGCTCCCAAAATTGAAACGTTACGCCCGGAGAATAGCTAAATTGATTTTTGAAACTTCAAGTTATTCCCGATTAATCAAATCTCCAGATTGAAAGAGTAAAAAATCGTTAGTATTTAAAAAAATGTGTTTCAAATTAACTAACGAGCTTTCTGCGCGCTCAAATTTCCGCCCCTGGTCCGCGTCCCCATCGCAACCTTCCGGGCGCGGCATCCCCGGAATCCGTAAACAAAAACACGGAGAAAATCCATTTTCCTCCAAAATTAGAAACACGATCTGGCGTCTCGCCAATCCCGCCACGTAGAAACCAGCTTTCGTTTATCATTTCTCGTCATTTTTTAAACCTTGACTATCGAGTCAACGTGGCAGCAGGTGGAAAACAATCGAAAAGGCGGAGACCGCTTGTGGGAAGAAAGCAGGCCTTGGTGATGGCGTCGTCGCCATTGACAACGTGAGTTGGTAATCAAGTATCTTGTTTATTGAATTGATAATGGCCAAATGTGGAACGTAAGAACATAAACATAAATTAACATCAACCGCCTCCTAATGTATAGCTAATTAAGGCTGACGTCACGAACAATATTTATTTGCATATTGCAGCGGCGTAGACAATGGGAGGCGCCGGAGGCGC